AGTTTTTTTTTTTTATCGCCCCAAAGTGCTGTTTTATTGTCCCAGCTTTATACTGTTTTCGTTCCATTGTTACCGGACAAGTACAAATATCCTCCTTTTATACACAAAAACCTTCAGACAGGCCTTCCCCAGCCCAGCCCTCATCCATCCATCAGCAGCGCCTCTGCTCTGCACAGAGCCCCCCAAGCTCTGCTCACCACCCCCCAGTCCTCTTTTTGACAGGACGCTGTTGTGGCTTTCCGGGCCTTTATGCGGCCTGTTGTCTGAGGCAGATTGAAGACCCTTTGTGTGCGTCAGGCTCTGTCCTGAGTGGCCCGGGAGGAACCTGCTGGGCTGCGAGAGGAGAGACAGGAATGCGCATATGAATGGGGCTGTGTGTGCCGGGCACCTGCTGACAGAGGGACGGCGTGCCTGTATGAGTCTTAGTTCATCAGCGTAACCATCTTGTTCAATTACACGTGCAAACCGGTGTTACGTTCCTCTGGTCAATCACGCTCAATGGGAGGATTGTCACTGCAGTTGTAGATGTTTTGATGATTGTGGAGGGATTCTTGACTAATGTGGTGTCAGCTGCATTGTTTCGGTTGTGCAGCTTTTTTGTTACAGCCTAAAACTGAATTTCCCATGATGTGTATGAAGTTACTTAAATAAGTTACATGCAATAATATACAGAACTTATACTTGGTGCACCGTGCAACATGTTCAACTTTTATGTGCACTGTGTGCATGATCGTGTTTTTCCCAACAACTGTGAAAGTTCAGACTACATCTGTAACAACTGCAGCTCTGTTTTTGGCTCCTCAATTATTTTATTGTGCTCTGTGTGTGCTCTCTGTTTTAGGCTATTCTTGCTCTTTGCTGCTGTAACACTGTAAATGTCTTATTTGTGGGATAAATGATCTTATCTTATCTTATTTTTCTGTAACTTTGCTAGATGTTGCTAAGTGCTGTGCTCATGATGGATTAACATTGGGTCTTTGTAATATAACAATAAGTAAGGTCTTTTTTACCTGCTCTTTTGTTATATTAATAACAAAGAGTAAGGTCCTATAACCTGCTTTTTGTTAAGTGTCTCGAGAAAACATTTGTTGTGAATCGTCGCTATACAAAAAAAGATTGATTGATCGATTGATTATCTAAACTCTCCCCCAAAGTACTCAAATGATCCCTCATACTTACCTCCACATGTAAGTTTCTATTGACTATCTTACCTTTCCTTGAAGCTGTGGACTCCCAAGTTTTCATTTCATTTTATTCTATGGAGACAAAAAGAGGACAAATTAAAGACTGAATGTGTCTGTGTCTTTTAAACAAATAAAATCTTAGTGACGTAAAGCTGCCTGACACTGAATCACGTTGGGAGCCAGCACTGGTGTGGCTAACGGACTGTGACCACACATCAGCATGTCGGTTCACAAAGCTTTGTTTGGCCTCTGTGGGGGCAGCGGAAACACGTGCTAATGGAGCACTGACATAATTACAATTAAAGATGGTGTGGAAAACAAAGTTCTAGCAAGAACTTGCCTATTTACACTTAAAGGAGCAGCATTACTATCTGACATAGAAGTTGTTATTGCAATATTGACCCTTTTATTCCAGACTCCACTCCTGAAAAACATATTTGTCTCTTTAGATGCCAAATCCTAAAAGATAGACGCTAAATTCTGACTGCTGTTTGTTACTGAGCATGTAGAGTAGAGTGGATTTTTATTGTTTGAGAAAAATACGTCAAAGTGTGAGAAACTATAAAATTGTAACACTTTGGCTGAAAAATTTAAAAAATAAGAATTTACTCCTCTAACATTGCACAAATTCATTTGATCAATTGTTATGGTGTACTTACTGGTGAAGAGGCTTTAAAGGCAGGGGTAGTTATTTTTCTCCAGATAAACTTTTTAAGATTTTGGTTAAAATTGCCTTTATGTCCTGACAGAAATTAATAACTCATTTGTGTTTGTAACTCGAAGAAAACGGTCATCTGTATCAGTTGTAAGCGTGTAAAAACTTCTACCAATGTCTGCCATGAGGTACCAATCTGATGAACCAATCACGCCTCCCTGTCTCCCTGCTCGTTCTGTACTCCTTGCGTGCACGACCACACGCTCAAAGCGCTTCAACGATGACAGACTTTATGCTGTGAGTTTGTCGTTAGCCATGAGTAGTAAAATATTCATGTATTATGACAAAGTTTAGTGTTTGATTATGGTGAATGAGACATGAGATATGAGACGAGGTAGTTTCTACACAATGCAAGCAATGAACTTAGGAGCAACGGCGCTGCATGGAAGCGAGGGGCGTGGCAATGTAATGCTACTTTCAAAATCATGCTAGTTTTTGATAATGACCAAACCATGCCTTTAATATTGTACTTTTAGAATAATTTGGGTAAGTGTTGTGGTACATGTAATGTCAGAGAGCCTGCAAACTCCCCATCTTTATGTAGAACTTATCTCACTGACCAATAAGTATCTACAACAGTCAGGTATCATGGGACCTGATATATGATCCCAGAAGCTTCATTAATCGTCCTCTGACTCATATGGTAAAGCTTATGGGTTGTTTGTCTGGCCCTGCTTTTGAGAAGATTACATCTCCATAATCAATATAAAGAAGCTTAACCAGCCATCACAGAATCTGGAGGGAAAAAAAAAACATCTGGGAAAATAAATGTTCCCTCTGATAAAAACCAAGAATAAGAGCAAAATCACAGCGTGTGCCCTGAGCACAATTTCCTGGGGAAACTTTTACGTGATTATGATTGCTGGGAGGGATGTTTTGACATCAGCCAGATGTTTTTGATGCATTTTAGTCTAAGTGTGGCCACAAATTGTACTGAAATGGCCTCCATGTCTGATATTAAAACGACGGAAAGATCTTTATTTTAAAAAAGTCCTGAAAAAAAACATGATTCACATGTCTGGATCACCTGATAAGCCTGACAGTCTCAGTGCTGATTGCCGGGAAGATCTGAGCTACAGCCTTCTGGACTCATGGCTCTTGTCACCCGCTGACCTGGAAAGCTGAAGCTCAAGATCTGCAACATCACTTCAAGCAGCAGACAACATGCTGCTTTGAAGTGGGAGTGGACCTAAATTGGATTATGCAGTATCTCTGAGCAGCAGCTCCTGAAAAATTTGATTACACCCCCCATCAACCAACGCTAACACTCCTGCTTCCCTTTCGATGCAGATGAGATGATACAGGGCGGTCCTCCATGCCAGACTCTGGTACTCCCCCTTCTTAATATGTGCTCATCTGCCAGCCATTTACCTGATTACTTGTGGATAGCTCAGACAGGTCGGGCTCTGTTGGGGCAGCATTTTGTACAGGTGGACGCAAGAAGGACCAGGAATTATCATCAACAGCAGAGGAAATAAAAAGGCTGGAACACTTTAAAACAACAAATGTTGCAGCTCGATCACAATTTTGCTAGCAGAAGAAATACACACAGAGGACAAACTGTTCTCTTCATCCATGCTCAATCCAAAGTGCTGTTTAAAATAAAGTCCCAGCACTGACTTCAAATGCTCCGTTCAAGCATGGCGCACAGACCACCTTCTATTCCTGAAGAAAATAACATCCAGTCCCGGTTTAACTCGGCCTCATTATGGTGGAAGTGGGTTCCTGCGCCAGGAAGTTTCATTGCTTTCCAAATAAATCTCACTAAACAGAGCTGTAATCCGAATTCCTCGTCTTGTGGAGTCGTCACTTTTAAGGGAAAGCTCTCAAAGCTGATCCTCAAAAATCACACCTTAACCCTCATCTATCACACGCCGGAGAGTTTGGACTGAAGAAACTGAGTCAAGTTTGCATTTAATTGAAAGCCATTTCTGAAAGATGAATTCAAAGTCTGTTTTTTTCCCCCTGTCGATGCTAGGAGGCCGGTTTCTGATTGTTTCCACATTAAGGGGGGGATAGCAGCTCTCAAATTCAAACCAGCTCATGAACATTTATCAAAAAAAAAAGAACGAGGCCCTTTAATATTCCTGCGCTTTTACGGAGTGACACAGAGGGTTTTCATTACCCAAACTCACTGCTTGCAAATCTGAGACATCAACTTTGATTGTGCTACACAGAACCTGGCAGGGGAACAATCGGGAGGTGCTGTGGGCGGCTGTGATCGTCTGTGTGCCAGTCAGACTTACTGCTCTGATACAGAGTAACGTCTTTTATTTAGAAGTATTACAGGGGTGTCTTTTCTTCAGTGACCAGTGAAAAAGGCAGAGCACACCCCTGCTATTACAGCCATGTGGCACTCAAAATGGGTGATCCTTGTTACAGCTGCTCAGCTGTGTGGAAGGAGGAAACTTGTCACTGAGCGTAAACAGCTCTCTTGGCTTAGTTCTCCTAGCTTAAATACCCCCATCCCACCCCATCTAACCCCCCTTCTCCAACACCCCATCTCCTTGTGCTGTGTGGCGTCAGCTGCAACGAGCTCCAGATGTGGCCTGGCACCCCTCCAGTCACAGCACTGGATGTGGTTTGAAGGTAGTTTGGAAACACCACCCACCAGTGGACCCAATGAAAGTTCCTCAGACTGCAGCGAGAGGTTTCCTGCCGCTGGATTGTGTTTGTGCGGCACGCAGGAGAAGTGCAGCAACTGTGCTGTATCTGCCTCCTGTATGTGCATGTGTTACTTATTGACCATGCTTTGAATAAGTATATTAGACAAAAGATTCAAGTATTTCCATCTGTTTCTAGAGACATGGAAATATCAACATCCTCTATTCACTCACAGGCTCCCGTTCTTTTGTTCCTTGAAATACTGGTTTCGGTACACAGTTCAGTAATTTGCTTTTGATGACTACAGAAAGGATTAATCCTCTCAAAGACTCATAATTGCTAATCCTTTTAAATAGTCATTTGTATTTTCTTTAGAAAGACATAAAACCAGATATGATGGTGACTATTTATTTTTTTATTTTGCCTAATCTTCCATTCTAGGTCACAATTACTGTATAGCCAACATGTTTTTTTTTTAAAAAAAGGTTGGAGAACAGTTGAGTGGTTTGAGGTTTTTACTTTGAAAAAGGAGGGAGTTATATGCACATCACGTAGGTTCAGGGCAGTGCAAAACCAGCAGACTGAGGAAGAAGACGGTTTTTACTTTGACAAAAGTACAAAGACAGTATCTGCTCTCAGTGTGGAAAAGTGTAAATGCTTCACACCACGAGCATTAGGTTTCATGTTTTTGCTCACATCACTTTTTTGAAAAAGAAGCAACAGGTTACTGTAAAACTATTTTGGCTGAACGTGGATGTCAGATTTGAAACTTTTGATCCCAATGTGTCAGTGACCTGCAACAACATGTCGCAATCAGTGGTGACTTACTGCACTGATACAAAACAAGTAACCCAACTGAGTGTCATAAACAACCTCCCTGAGCAGTGATGTCTTACTACCCGCTGTAACTGCTTCACTTTTCTGTCTTTCTAACACTTACCCTGTTTAGTTTTCAGACATGGTGCTGGGAGGATCGAATGAGGTCACTGTGTGTAAAGCTGCCAGCTAATTCACATGGTCTACTGGAAAAAACACACATTTCTTTTGAGACAACAGCTCCCCCTGCTGCTTCATATTAAAACAACACACAGCGTGGATTTACTCAGAAATGTGCAGAAGTTTTACAATTAACACATCACAGACGCGTTGGCTTCCAGTTTGAATACAAACTGCTTTGTCAAACATGGCTCGAGTTCAAGGTAAATAATCATTGATGCTGCTGCAATGGTGTTGGGTGGGGTGAGGGTGTAAAAGCTGGTGTTTTAAGTAAACTGTTAATATCCATATGTGACTTCAATCCACCATTCTTAGCTATTTCCAAGCAGTGTTGGAAGTCACATTATCATTTTAATTTAGTAGAGTTTTCGCTATTCAAGATTTGTTTTTACTGTTTGTACCTATGTGTCCTCTGTATTTCTTGCACTTTCAAAAGCTGATTTTTACTTGCTCGCTTTAATAATTCTTTAGGGGAACTCACATTAAAGGCATTAATTTCCGTTTAATTCATTTGCACATACATTTGTATTTTACATTGGATGTATTTAAGTTTAACAGGTTTTGCTGCACAACTTCATCAGGTAGAAATATCTTTTGAGGGTTTCTTACATTCTTACATTTTAGTGCCTCAACTTTTAACTTAAAATTCTGTAAAGAAAATATATCAGTACTTGAGCGGTATTTTATTTACACCATTTCTATACTTCTTGTGTAAAGGATCATGTGTTGTGTACTTTTACCTCTGTTTACATTGAGCTAGTACACAAGATGCTCTAGCAACATTCCTACTCAAAACCTTGCTATTAATGTTATCTCACTGTAGAGTCTTGCATTTTTGTGTCCATTTATGGTTGCAGCATAAAAGGGTAACATTTGCTACAAACTAGACATGTAATGCTGTGTCCAACCTGTTTTACTCACTGGCTCTTTGCCCAAGTCTGAAAAGAACAAGGAGTCAAATTTATTCAATCCAGGTCAAGATGAGTATAATCCTGATATAAGAAGACCCATCTAAATGTCTCTTCATAGCACCTCTGAATGCCCCAGATTGCAGTGTTCCTGATTTCACCCAGATGGTTTTAAGAGCTCCTGCAGGTCTCCCTTTGGTGCTAGCTGGCAGGGTAGCTGCAGCCTCTTGTTCACCTGGCTGCAGAGCGCTGGACTGTGCTCAAGAAGCAGCTGGCACACCTCCTCCTGACCTCGTTCTGCTGCCTGCTCGAGCATTAAATAGGGCAAAAATAAAGGCACAGGTTAGAAATCATGAAACAGCCTTGTTGTGTTATTGTTTCAAGTAATTCAGCACCTTATGTAAAGGTGATGCACCATCGTCGTCACAGGTCATTGGATCTGCTCTGTGCTGCAGCAGAAGTCTAACCACATCAAGATGACCGCAGTAAGCAGATCGATGGAGCGGTGTCGCACCGCCTGGTGTCTGGGGAGATGCACAAGCACCATTCTCCAGAAGAAACTTGCATACAGTGTGATGACCACTGCGACTTGCATAGTGCTGAAACAAAACACACGTAAATGAGCCAGAGGTTTAGGTACAAAGGAAAAGTCAATAACACTGAAGACTAAAAGTTTCCCCACCAGAGCTGTGTATCCAGCTGCATCTCTCAGGTCAGGGTCTGTGCCTTTCTGGACCAAGGTTTTAACTCGCTCCAAGTCCCCGTCCATTGCAGCAGACCAGATACCTGTAGAGAAGAATACAACACAACAGCTGTAAGCAACAAAACACCCAATACATGAACTAAATAACTGTTATCAGAGGTCATTAATCAAATAAACATGAGTCAGTTTGAATTTGCAGCTTCACTTATAAACATCTATATGACCTTGATCTCGCGATCTACCATTTGAAAGGCAAATAAAGGCAAACCTCGTTCAAAATCCATTTCATTCAGAGTCTGGTAAACACTGGGAGAAGAGACTTTATGGGAGCAACACGAACATTGATGTCTATCCAACGCCATTGTGGAAAAACAGTTTAAAACAACTGTTTCTGACTGATTCAAAGCTTTAGTTGAGCACTTGTTTCTGAGAAATATGCATCAATAAACTTGTTTTTTGGTCGGTTCCGCGTTTCTTCTTGTATCTTCAAAGGTCCACAACATCGTGGTGCATTACCCCCACCAAACAGGACCAGCTCTAAAACATACAAGCCCCACAAAAACGTTACGGAGCCAATTAATGTTTGACGAAAATAATCCAAAAATAATGTTATTTGAGAATTGTGAATACGAAAAAACCTTCAGGATAGCTTCACGTCTGCAGTAGACCGAAACAGGTCAAACGTGCTTACGTATGAACATTCCGACCAATGGTAGAGCAGCAGTCGGAAGATCCCTTCAGGGGCCCTCTGATTTATCGGGATTATCGTTTTTACATATTTTGAAGAAAACAAGCAACTGTACACAAAAGTGTTAACTGGTGATCTCATGAATAAAACAAGTGAGCTATCGTATTGCTGCAACGACTCTTTCAATTCACCAACTCGTCAGTTTAGTGAGTCTTTAGTTACTTATGGCATGTCTAATCATTCCCGTTCCTCTTTCACTGTTCTGAAAAGCTTTAACTGTCATTTAAGCACCAGGCTGGAAGATGCACTGAATATAAGTATTAAAACTGTATCTAAATATATTGACGAGAGGACAAGGAGTTATGAAAATTTGGCAAAGTACGAGTTGCAACCTCATAGTAGATACTTTTTCCGATTGCTCCTGAAAGCATCTTCTGTCTCGTGTTGTTGTCTGATGTTGCTAGCTAGCCAGCTTGAATCGGCAACCAAGTGTTAGCTGGCTAAAGCCAAATCATTGTAGCCATTGTAGCAAAAAACTTGTAACCAAAGCGCCTAAAGAATGAGAAGAGTTACCTTATTTATTAACGGGACATGTAAAAATGGCAAGGTGGGTAAAATGTAGTTAATTGTGGGAGCTTAGGCCGCTGTGTGACTGTCTTTTTCCACTGAACATACGTGTTTCATTATGACCTCATAACCATCCTCTAAAGTTACATAGTTTATATAATAGTCATATGGAGTCAAGAGAAATGCTACTCTTTGTTGTTTTGTTTTTCACACGGATGTTACTATTGGCAACAATCTTGCTAACTGCGACACACCAATGTATTTACAAGAGTGACCTATTGTGTTAAATCTTATAAATCCCACTGTGTTGATTGTTTGTTTTTAGGTTGTAGCAGTGTACGGGACCTTGTCAGACTTATTATCCGTAGCCAGCAATAAGTTAGGAATCAAAGCCTCCTGTTTGTACAATGGAAAAGGTGGTCTCATAGATGACATTGCTCTTATAAGGTAAGTTTATAATAAGTGTGTTTCTGAGTTCACTGTTGTCATGACAACTCTGTTTGTAATTTTTTCCGTCTTGTCTTTGCTGACAGAGATGATGACGTGTTGTATGTGTCAGAAGGAGATCCATTTATTGGTGAGTGCTGTCATGTGTCATCATCTGTCAGTGGAAGAGAGACAGAGACAGGGCTGCTCGTTTCATCATGAGGATTATTTTACTTAGACTTTCTTTATTGTCATTCAAACTTGTACTTTACAGAGCAGATAAGAACCAAATTTCGTTGCATTTGACTCCTTAGTGCAGGATAAGAACAGCAGCAAGTATTTACATAGAAAAAATAAGGTGCAGATATGAAAAGGAAAGCTATGTGTAAAATTACTATACAGATAAATATATTGCACGTTTGTGATGTATGTTATATTGTGTTTTACAGTCCAGTGAGGTAGTCCTGTGTGGGGGTTTGAGGGGGAATGGAGGGATTATTTTTTTCGTGTTCAAAAGTCTTATGGCCTGTGGGAAGAAGCTGTTACAGAACCTGGAAGTTCTGCTTCGGAGGCTGCGGAACCTCTTTCCAGAGTCCAGATTCAAGATTTTTATTTGTCACATGCTCATACAGATGTGCAGTGAAATGTAAGGGTGTAGTCCAGCAGTGAAAACAGTCCTTGGTGGGGGTGGGAGGTGTCTCTGCTCAATTGATATTGAGTTCACAATTATAATTGTTAACACGATTACTTTTTATTTTACAACATCTGCACCACAACCATCTATCTATTTTAAACACTTTTGACACTTTGACATTCTGAACACTTTGAAAAACAAGCAAAAAATTAAAATAAATAAGTTAAGAATATCCAGTAAATATATACAAATAATAATATACACTATTAATCAATAAATTAAATGATGTTTTTGAGATAGTGGTGATGTACTCTTGTGGCCAAAATAGAACAATAAACACTTGGAAAAGTTAACCACACATGACTAACCTATGGGAAAAAAAGGATTGCTTCACGGCATCTTGTTTTCATGATCGTGGGAAAACCAAAAACTTTGAAATGCGATTGCACAGCTCTGCTCAGAGACATTTATTCTTCTACTTTTTTTTTGCATCACAGATCCTCAAAATGAAGCCAAGGTTATATCTGATCAGCACGGAGCACACACTGATTGGCTGACACTTAATATTGGTGGTCGTCCCTTCACCACCACCAGGTACATTACAGAACACTTGCGATTGCCAGACATCAGTGTATATTTCTGTTTGTTTGTCTCTGTTGCAGCTACATTTTTTTATTCATTGTCTTCTGTCCTGAATGTGTCTGTTTTGTGTTCAGGAGCACCTTAGTAAGCAAAGAGCCAGAGAGTATGCTTGCTCACATGTTTCGAGAGAAAGGTAAATTATGGCTACAGCCTATCAGTTTGCAGTCAGTCACATGTGAGCAACCTTTTGAGTTTTCTTCATCTCTGTGTTTTCCCCAGATGTGTGGGGGAACAAGCAGGACGAGCATGGAGCTTACTTAATCGACCGCAGCCCTGAATACTTTGAGCCCATTCTCAACTACCTAAGACATGGACAGCTCATTATTAATGAAGGCATAAATATACGAGGTAAGCGTTCAAGAAACTCTTAAGTATTGATAACTATATTCCTCAACAAAGGTCAGAAGTTACATTCCCTACAAATCTCCCGATAGAGTTTGAAATGTGTTTCTTTAACATCTTCCAGGTGTTCTCGAGGAGGCTCGCTTCTTTGGAATAGAGCAACTTGCTGAACAGCTAGAAGCAGCAATCAAGGTAATATGAAGTGTGGATTAGTGTTCATTTAGCACTGTGATTACTTCCTTGATACGTCATGACTCACCACACGCTTACTTTTAAAACAGAACTCACAACCACCCGAGGACCACTCTCCCATCTCCCGAAAAGAGTTTGTTCGTTTTCTTCTGGCAACACCAACCAAATCAGAGCTCCGCTGTCAGGTACAGCTTAATCCAAAGTTTTTCAGACATGTCCATCAGTGTTCATTTTGACAGATATTTTAGATTTAGATGTAGTGTTCGGTTTTAGATGAAAATGTTCATTAGTTTGTCTCATTTGAGTTCTTTTTACTTTTTATAGTTCTAGTTAACGATAACTCAAAACATGTTAGTCCAGTTTCAGTCAATGAAAAGTCATTACATCTAAGTCATTCCTTTTAGTAAAGATATTCTCTCTTAACTAATTCAATTAACCTAATACAGGTGTCAGGAATTGGTATTAAGGCAACCGGGTGTTTAAGCTGTTTATCTAAACTCAAAAACCCATTAAAAACACCTTTTACAGACCAATATGTAACTCTGACACCTAGTGTTTAAAATGGGTACTGCAGTCCAAATTCTAAACATTGCAGAGAGCTGTCTCCCCCCGCCCCCTCCACCCTACAGTCGAAGCGCATGCAGGTTGTTATGTCACTGAAGCTTCAGTGTTTAGCCAGCTCTACATCGGTCTTGAAATTTTTCTGCGTTTTAACCCCTCCATTTTTCAAAAGCATCTCCAATATTCATCCTAATTTAACCAAGTTTCTGGTCCTGGAGCTTATTAGGAAAATGCAGAGGCTTTTTAGGCCGGGGAGAATCAGTTATATCTGTCCGAACCAGTTCACTTGCCCTCTTCAATCAGTGCAACACGGCCGTGCGGGGTGCCTTAAAACCACCTACCTTCTCTGGTCAAAACAAAAACAAACCATTCCAATGGCACCTGAATGGAAACTTAGGAGGACATACTTGCTTCTGCATTGTTGTTAGAGAAGCCAGTACTTCATATTGTGTGTCCTTAATGTATGATGATTGAGTAAGGTCATTTTATGATTTGATTCAGTAGATATATTTAATGAAAACAAAACATATGTGTAGTCAGTTTTTATTTTCAAAGATCTATTTTTAGCTCGTCAATGACTCATTTTCGTCAGGGAAAAAAAAAGGATCACAAAGAAGAAAATCTTTAGTCACAATCAACATGAAGGAAAAGAACACTGATTTCCATCAGTTCATCATATGAAACTGATTTTGACCACCTTTATTTGTATTGTTTTTAGGGTCTTAACTTCAGTGGCGCTGATCTTTCCCGACTTGATCTACGTTACATCAATTTCAAGATGGCCAATCTGAGCCGTTGCAATCTTTCACACGCCAACCTGTGCTGCTCTAATCTAGAGCGAGCCGATCTGTCTGGAGCCAACCTGGATGTAAGTCAAAAAGCTCTTTAACTGTTCCATGTCAGCATTTTATGATTCATATTACCAAAAAACATCAACATAGAATACACTCAAGAACTCAGCCAGGACGAAACATTTCCCTAGTCTTCTAGGTAACCTGTCATTTTTGTGTTATTCTGAATTGATGGCCTTCTTGCTGGTAAACAATGGTCCAGTTTTTTTGTGTTTGTCCACTTTTCCCCTGCTGTCCCCTCAGCTGTGAGGAGGAAGGGCCGTTCTGTTCACAAGTTTGACAAAACACAAATCCACTCTCACCTCATTAGAAGAGCATCAAGCAGACTGTTTCTCCAATCTGTTAACTTCACGTAACCTTTTTTAGGGTGTCACCCAGTATGAACTCATAAAACATAACGATTATTTGGCTTGTCTTTCAAAGGGTGCCAATTTACAGGGTGTGAAGATGCTGTGTTCGCATGCAGAGGGAGCTTCTCTTAAAGGATGCAACTTTGAAGATCCATCCGGTCTGAAGGCCAACCTGGAAGGTGATTGATCCTCACTCTAAACCAAAGCAGAGTCTCACATGTGAAAATAAATCTGAACCAAATGTTTTTCTGATCAGGTGCTAACCTGAAAGGAGTGGACATGGAAGGAAGCCAGATGACTGGGATTAACCTGCGTGTGGCCACTCTGAAAAATGCAAAGCTGAAGAATTGCAACCTGCGGGGAGCCACTTTAGCAGGGACGGATCTCGAGGTGAGTTGGAGCCATCAGAAGGATTATGACTCGAAACCATCATGTTGATATTTAGTTACAAATGCCACAAAAATAATTTCAGGAACAGAGATCCCAATAGCTTTTTTTGTATGCCATTGCTGCTCATATAGAATGTATATTTCTATTTTTCCTAAATGGCTAGAATGGAGCAGAATCCTCACATTTTACACAAACCCAAGAAAAGGTTGAATAGAATAAATTATATATCAACAGGTTCGCTTTGGTAAATGGACTCAAGGCGCTTTTACAATGCAGGTCACACCCATTCACACGCTGATGACAGAGGTTTCTATGTAAAGTGACCGTCAGAAGTATCTAATCCCAGTCATACACACTCGCACGCCCAAGGACACATCTGACATGTAGCTGCATTAAGCTGGGGACCGAACGGCCAACTCTACCAACTGAGCCACAGCCAGTTTCCCCCTCTGCAACACCTGATGGTTTGCCATTTGCCTGGCGAACATACTGATGTTCAGAACTGCTATGTGGAGGTGCCTTAAAACCGCCTACCCTCTCTGGTCCATGTTTCCTCAATGTCTGATGATATAGTAAGGGGTCATTTAATGATGTAATTCAGTAGATAGAAACATGAAAACAATGTAAAGGAGTCATGTCCTGGAATCAGCAGCATTCTCTGCCCCTGGAAATTGTACCCTCGAAAAGACGAGACAGACTAGCGTCTCCTGTGCCATTGTTCTTGACTAAGCTGATGTTTTAAGTCCCGCCTCGTCTGGATTCTAATTGGTCGGTGAGGGAGAAGTGACATTGACGAGCGCGGCGGTGTTCCAAAAGTTTAACTGTAGTGTTTTCAGTTTAGAGAGCTGTGAGTGCAGCGAGAAAAAAAAAACGTTGACGACGTTTTAGTGCTGACAATGCGGAACTGCATTGGTTTTGTATTGAAAACGAGCCCAAAAATGATGTCTATGGACACAGACCTTTAAGCAGAAAATGCCAAAAGAATTGTTTTTATTTTTGCAAGCGTAAACGTCTTCCTTTGTCCTTTAAAAAAACGGTTTTACAAATCAAAGGTGAATATTTTCAGGTATAAACCTATTGGCTGGACAAAACAAGCTATAGAAATAGGACAAATAAAGCTTGGGGGCATCTGCCATCATAATCTGGCATTTAAAACAACAACATTTAAAATACAAGGGACGTGATAATCAGCTGTAAAAGCACCTAGCATTTTAGTTAAATCAAATTGCAAGCAAATGTGTAAAAGTTTTCCAGTCGTCATGTTTATTTTAAAAATATACCACGTGTTATAACCCACTTTATTGAATCCCCTTGAATTGCAGAACTGCGACCTGTCCGGCTGCGATCTACAAGAAGCCAACCTGAGAGGGTCCAATGTAAAAGGAGCCATTTTTGAAGAGATGCTGACCCCTCTGCACATGTCTCAGAGTGTCAGATAAATGAGCTCACACCTGTGGATCAGTGTGAACATCAGCTGGCTTCTTTCACGAACCTGTGCTCCACTATATTCCCCTACTTTCAATCTCTGTACCTGTCTGTGACACAGGTACCTGTATGCACATCCCTGGCATTCCAACTTTTATTATTTGAGCTTTAAATATCTTGCACTAGAATATATTCAGGGTTGTCCATGTGTGTTTGTAAGGTAGAGTCATATTTGAATGTTCAGCTGCATATATCACCAAAACAAAAATAATGTTCCTTGTCTATGTCGATGCGTTTGGATGCAATCCATGACTGTACACATTTCATGTTTTACATAATTTATGCTCACGTTACTTGACATGTTAGTGGGAGTCTGAATAAGGTCATCTGTGTTCAGTGAAGTTCAGAGCGCTTAGCTTCTTCACTGATGCTGCTGTAGCAGAACCAGAAGGGGGTCACTTACCAATAACTGTGTGGTTCTTTGTTCCTGTTTGTTACTTCATTTTGTTGGATTTAACATATTCTAAAGAAAGCAATGCCAAGCCAAAGCCATAACAACAGCAGAGTCTGAAAGGCTCAACATGCTGTTTGTGCAACAAAAAAAAAAAGAAACTATGCGACAGGCTAGTTTATAAAACAGCTTATGTATGCAATACATGATCGATGGCTGTGAGGTTTTCAAACCTTTTGTTCTTAAAAAGCTTTCCGTTGTTTTGCGCTATGTGAATCTACCTCTTTTTTTAATCCGTCGTGTGAGTGATCCACAGTTGCATGCATTTATTGCAAAGTTTACGTATGACATCAATTATCCTTCTTAATTTCATTACGAGAAAATAATCCTTTTTGGGCTGCTTCACCAGGAGCCATTTTCACTTCTTGTCAAAGTGGGTTTGCCTGGAATCATTCTGCGTGTATCGACATATATCACTTAATCGTTCTTTAAACTTCTTTGCACAAGAGTATGTTGACTTGTAACATGTTAAACCTGTTCACCAAAAAAAAAAAAAACACAAGTTTTGGTGCTTGTATTTTAATGTAAATCAAATCCAGTGTTTCCCAAAAAAAAAAAAACTTCCAAAAGAATGGTTCTTAGTTTAGTACGGTGTCGTCAGCTGTTTAGTCGAGGGTCTCACCTCAGTCTGTCTGCATGTGTGAAGAGCTTCTCGTCTTCTCTCGCTGTAGCTCAAAGCTGCTCTGATGCAATACAATATTTACTCAGTTCTTTTTAACACAAGGTACCCAGCCTGTGAGAATGAACGATGAAGGCAATCATGTTGTGCAAAATCAATGGAAGAGTTCTGGTTATTTATGTTACTACATCTCACTAAATGCGATATGGGACAAAGGCTTGATTGTGTATGAGGAAGAGAGTCTGGAATGAGTCCCTATCTATGAATATTGCACTCGACCATGGAAATATATTTCCATCAATGACTGTTAAATAAACTGCTATGAAAAAAAAAAAAAAGATTCTCCAGTATCTTTTTTTCCTATTTCATCTGATTTTAAAATTACAAAGAATAAGTACATAAGAAAAGTTACTGAATTGATAATCTTAAAAACGGTTGGCTATTTGTGGACAGATCCCTCCCTGTGCAACCTTTTGTTTTTTATGGAGGAGCAGAAATCACACAGCGGGTGTCATTTTTCAAACAGCTTTGCAGGTCACCATGATGCTTAATCCCACTTTGGGACCCCCTGTAGGGAAGTGTCAGATTTAGAGGAAAAAAAGCAGCACAGGTTTATATAAACCTCTGAAAATATTGAAGGATTCACAAAGGACGGCAGACAAGATCAGATCAGAGAGTTCTGCCCGCTGTATGAACAGAAGGTAAAGACTGGCTAAGAACTACATCAGTATTTGTTTTGTGGGATAAATAAATGTTAAAATTACGCTTTTTTTTCTCCTCAGCATGGTTACCCCGTCGCCATTGTGGCTCTTGCTTGTGTGCACTGCTATACCTTTTGGCTGCAGTCAGCACTGGTCATATGGACTGAGCCCAGGAGGGAAAAGGGAGCTGGACAACCTGTCAGACACTCTGAACAATGTAAGCATGAGCTACGTGTCATGGCCTCGCAAACTTTTCCAGAGCATTTGTTGATCTTCTTGTCTTTTGCTTGTACTTTTTTATTTTTCCACAGATAGTCGAGGGGTTTCCACATGTGGGCCCAGCCTGCTGTGTTTTGGGCTGTGAAGAAGAATCTCCTTTCTCTGAGATGAGGAAAAGAGGATTGCTTGTATGTTGTTATTTCATTTGCTGCAAGTCATCACTCTGACAGTTCTGATGAAATGCTTCATTATTCTCACACATTTTATTTCTTTTCTAACTTTTAGGATATTATCACCAGCAGGGAAAGTGGACACAAAAAATATAAAAAATGATCATCATTTCATGGTACAATAAATACTGTGAGCATGTTCACTTGGTGTGATTATTGTTTGACATGATTTATAACCACATCAGAGTCTCTTAACTCCTTGTTCCCTTCTTTAGCTTTACATTTTCTCTATTCTATTTTATAACACCCCCCCCCCCCCCCATGTCGTGGAGAACCCAACTTAATACCCCAAAAGGAAGGTGAAGACAGCTTGAAGCTTCCCTTGAAGCTTCCCAAAAAAAAGTTTGCCTAAAATATTACCATGGTGTTTTTATCTCAGTAAGATGTTGAGAAGCTCATCTGTGACTTTTGTTCTTTAGACTGCAGTTTGTAGTGCTCTATTTATGGTCTACCAAAAAAAATATAACGGGAAACTATCTCAGAACTCTGCTGCAGGTCTAGTAACAAAAACAAGAAAAAGACCGAACATATGACTCCATATATAGATATATATATACAGGATATAGTATAACATATAACCTATAAGGTTGTAGAAGTTGAGATCAACCTTTATTTATCCTACAACAGATAAATCCTACATATGCCCTTGTGGAACAGATGTCATGTCCAACAGTTTCCCCAGCCTCCGCGTTTCGTGGCCCTCTTCCTCTGGCCACTGGAGCCCATGCAGATAACCTTGTTGTCAGAGACACTCTACGTATATGGACACAGTTTCGTAGACACTTTGGCCAGACTCAGGCTCTAATATCCATGCCCTTAACCTCAAATCCTCTTCCTTGATAGATAAATCTTTCCAGATGTGGTTTAATAAGGGAATCCGTTGTGTGGGGAACCTTTTCATGAATGGGCTTGTTTTGCTCATTTTTCCACCTTGTGAGGCAACACAACCTACCAAAACCACACTTCTTCAGGTACTTACAAATTCGAGATTTCACCCGCTCACATTTTCCATCATACCCATCCAAACCACCGACCAATCCGCTTGATGAGTGTCTGAAAGTCAAGCCCTACCTGACGGGTCACGTGACTCGCTTATATAGCACTATCCAGAAAATGGAGGGCTGCTCATTACGGCACCTGAAAGGACAGTGGGAGCAGGATTTGGGCACGGTGCTCTGGGATGCAATTCATAATTGCTCACGGTGCAATTAAAATAATTCATACATCGTCAATATGCGTGAGGCACGGGTTATTGCAGTTTAAAATCCTTAACTGCCTGCATTGAGCTAAAACAGCCTGGATATTCCCTGGTGCAGACTCGAGCTGTACCCGATGTCACCAGGCCCCTTCTACCTTAGGCCATATGTTTTGGACATGCCCAAAATTAAACGCATTCTGGTCTGACATCTTCAATACAATCTCATACACATGTGAAAGGAAGGTTGACCCAGACCCTGTCACTGGAACTTTTGGGGTTGTCCCTAGCAACAGCTGGATACCCAGACATCGATCAGATTTGATTGCATTTTCAACATTATTAGCCCGCAGGTTTATCCTCCTCAATTGGAAATCTCCAACCCCTCCATCTCACTCACGTTGGATTCGCGACGCTATGTCAGTTCTTAAACTGGAAAAAATTAAATGCACGGTTCAGGGATCATCAAAGAAATTTAAAAAAACTTGGAACCCCTTCTTAGACTATCATGCAAACATATTTGAAGCTAATACTCTAGACCAGTAGCCCCCCCCCCATCTCGCCCCTACCTTCTCCCCTCCTCTTTTCCCTTCTCTCTTTGCTCTTTCTTCTTTGTATTGCAGTACTCAATTTGTCTTTACTTATGCATTCTGCTGCATACAGAAGTATCGCATATACTAAGTTTGAGGGATATGTATACCATTGCAACATATGCACAACAAAGCTCCTCTGTCACTTTAATTTGTTTATGTATTTCTCTCTTCTGCTGTTCTTCCTTCTTTCCTCGTCGCTCTCCTTTTTTCGTGTGTGACTGTGATTATTTCTGTGTACTATTGTTGAAAACTCAATAAAAAATAAAGATAAATCATACATATGTAAATGTCAGAGCTTTTTACATCACCTTGGCTGTAAGGAAAGAAACAAACGTAAGATTAAAAGTCCTTATGCCATTAAAGGTGCACTATGTAGATTTGGTAGTGAAATTTTAAAGTTGGAGAAGTGAAACAAGTCTATGCTATATTTTCTGAACTAAATACACAAAATGTATTCAAAGGAAAAATGGGTCCCTGGAACACTGTTTGGAGCTAAAAAGCTACCAGTTACGGTTTCACTGTTGCATGCCCCCCACCATAACTTCTCACGTAGCATTTTATTTTCAAACAGTGGTACAGTATGTTTGTGTATATAGTTATGAACATATACCACAGAATCTACATTTCTCCAACTTTCATATTTCTCTATCCAAACTACATTGTGCACCTTTAACGTGAGCAACATGAAGTCATGCTGTCACAGTTACAGAGAAGTCTAAAAAGTGCTTTAGATCCCTAGCAGCCTCGTGCACTCAATCACTTTCCAGGTGATGTCTATTAAGTCCTTACGGGTGTAGGGCTCAGGGTTTAGGGAGGAAATGGAGATTCAGCCATGGTGGTCGCAAAAACAAGGTTGTGAAGATCCCTAACGAAGCACTGAAGATGGCGCCAGCATAGCATCGGTCATAATCAGCAGTATGTAATCAACGGTTACATAGGAACACACAAAAACAGACGCATGGAATGCAATAAAAACTGTCTGTGAATTAATGTCTGAATTTAAGTGTTTAATTTATTTAAAAAGACCACACTATGATAGTAAAAATATTTATGAAATATTGTATTAATTATGAAACAAAATATGATATTATAAACCCTATAATATTATACAAATGTAGATTTAAATTGAATAACCAATAACCAGTCATACTGTCCGAGCTGGTCAGCACTCTAATGTCAGAAGAGTGCTCTTTAGCATTCTTGGTATCTGTTCTTAAGAACTGGGAAGTGAGACGAAAGTCAAACGGCAAATGTTGTTGTCTTTCTTTCTTTCCTCAGCATTTGAAATGTGGATCGATCAATTGAGCAAATGTTCTCCTTGCAGTCACAAAGTGTCTGTGTTTCTGACCTAGCTGCCGCTTCAGCTGTTCTTTTGTTGGCGGTAAAACACACACACACACACACACACACACACACACACACACACACACAGAGTTTTTTCAAGAGAGAAAAAACTTTCTTTCTTTAGACTAAACTATAGCAGTATTCACTAAAGTGGGTATTCATTTATTCTCTCCTGCTCACTTGTAGTGTTCTCAGTGAGCCAGCAGAGGTCACACATTCATCTTACATTATGGGCTCCTGTTGTATTAAATTTACCTGACTAAGGACAGCAGATGAAAAATACACAGTATATTTCTTATATCTAACAGAGTATGCATATCTAATGTGACTTACTCATGATCCCATCAGGTTTGTTGAGCTGGCTGAGGAGGGTGGTGTAGAGGTCTTTCCTGTGCAGGTACTCGTCGCAGTGGCTCTCCTGGACCTGCCTCCACACCTTGATCATGGTGTTGCCCTCAGTGCGATCCCTCATCAGACCCCACGCCTGAAATGACATTACACCATTGTGAACAATGGCAGGGCCCTCAGGGCTTCCAGGGCCTGAAACATCTGCCATCCGTGATAGTCCTGGGACACAACCGTGGTTACATTCATTATCAAGGCCAGCCCAAGCTCTGCCGCAAGTGCGGTGAGCAGAGACACCTTGCAGAAGCGTAAGCGTAAGCAGGTTATTTGTGGAAAGTGTAGAGAGATTGGTCATACTTTCGAGGAATGCACCAATGGCAGAAAGTGCAGTCTTTGTTGAGAAAGCAACCACCTCTTCAGAGATTGCCTGAAATCTTTTGCCAAATTCAGAAAAGACGCATAATTCTCTTCTGACAGTAGCTGAAGTTCAAGTCGAAGTGTAAGGTCTGGAGATAGAAAGATTGGACAGTTCTGTTGAAGAGCCTCTCAGAGATGTCCAGGCTTCCTCCATCTCTTGAGGGTAATGGTGCGTCCCAGTCACCATTTTCTGTGGTAAGTTCTCTGAGGATAGCTTTGCCTTGGATTGTGACTGGTGCTATGAATCCTAGAGGATCATAGAGGTTGTTGATAGTGGATAAGAAACCTCTGTGAGTGTAAGGCTTTACCTTTTCTGAGACTGTGAACACAAAACAGTCAGTTTGGAGGTTCCATTTGATTCCAAGACTGCATTGAGTTGGAAGCATATCTGCATTAAGGTCAAGGTCTTTAAGGTCGCTAGCATGATCTTCGAGAGGAAAGGCTTCCATGACGTCTTCGTTGTTCGCTGCGATCTTGTGGAGCCTCAAGTTCGATTTCGAGAGAACTTGTGTCCCCTTCAGTAGGCTGACAGCAGCTTCAACTGTAGGCAGAGACTTCAAACCATCATCAACATAGAAGTCTCTCATCACAAAGTGTTTGACATCTGAGTCGAGAGGTAACTGGTTGAGCTGGACAGACTGGTGCAGGCAATGAATAGCCACAGCTGGTGATGGGCTATTACCAAACACATGTACTCTGATGCGATAATCCACAATGTCTTTGCTGAGGTCATTGTCATGAAACCAGAGAAAACATAGTAAGTTCCTGTCTTCCTCCCTTACCAAGAAACAATAGAACATATGTTCTATATCAGCTGTAAATGCGATGGCTTCTCTCCTGAAGCGGATCATTACACCAAGCAGTGTGTTGTTCAGGTCAGGTCCAGTTAACAGAACATCATTGAGAGATACACCATTGTACTGGGCACTGGAATCAAACACTACACATATTTGCTTTGGTTTTCTTGGATGATACACACCGAATGTTGGCAAATACCACCGTTCTTCTTCATCGGTGAGAGGAGAGGCTAACTCAGCATGACCTTTTTTAAACATCTTGTCCATGAAGCTGTGAAAGTGGGCTCTCATTTCAGTTTTTCTGTGAAAGTTCGCTTAAGAGACATGAGGCGCTTAAGAGACCTGAGATGCTTCAGTGCCTGAGGCCTGTTGAAAAAGGAAAGATGTTGTTAAAAAAAGTATTCAACCCCTTAAACTTTGGCAAACCTCAATGCGATTAAGTAATGTTACAATTCACTAGCAGACGATTTTATCCAAAGCACACATGAGCCGCCCCTCAATGTAATGCAAGCCTTCTTTTATGAGCAAATTAACCAGACTTTTTCTGCAGATTGGTCTGACTTAGTCTGCCAGAGTGTGTGACAAGAGCAGCCGCCTCCTCTTCATAGTAATGATTATTCTGGAGTTGCTTTGATTAAATTAGGTATACCTGAGCACCCTTAAAAAGAGTTTGAATTTCTTGCATGCACTTACAAGGTGTATTACCATGAATAAATTAGTATGATATGTAACATCAAAATGAATTATTCCTTAGAATTAAGATTTGGCCTGATGAATATGACTTTATGTGAATCCAGATCATTCCCAGGCTTTTTTTTCCAGAGCCTCGGCTAGGGGTAGAAAACGTTTTCTCCCTCCATGTAAGAACAACAGTGGTTGTCAAGTCATGTTGCCCGAGTCTGCTGACCACTTGGAGGTAAATTAAGCAAAGATGTATTTAACCTTTTTAACAGTGACAATTAAAAATATACACTGTAAGTATTTGAAAAAACGGTGAACTGCTTTGATATAATTTGGCGAATTGTGCTTTGAACAGATTTCAAGACTCCTGATCTGACAAGAATACCCAAAGATTAGCAGTTTATCAGGAGGCTGGCTGCTTTACAAAGCACTTGGTAATATAAATCTTTAAAAAAAAGCTTTGAACTGTTATTTATTTATTGCTTTATTCTCTTAAAGTTCACTTATGGCTTGATTCAGGTGAATCAGGACAAAGAAGACTGACTGTTATCCCCCCAGAAGCTGAGGGTTACAACGCAGCCTTTTTAAAAACACAGACTGGTGGAGGGAAAAAAACACTATTTATATTTTGCCACTCCAGAAAAATTAGATACATCCCCTCCCGCCGAGTTTCAAAAGATGCTCAGCGCAAATTGCAAAGTCTGTGGATCTGGCATGCCATTGCAAGTTTTGGCTGTGCATATAAAGTCCTGTGTAGACCAGCTATCGTTGGAGGATGACTTTGATCTCCATTGAGAAGTATTTCAAACTTTGCACAGCTTTTGGTTTTATCAGATTATTTCAAATAAAGATTTTGCAAAGTGTAACCCCAATGTCTTTTTTTAGTGTTCCCCTGATATAATGATCGTTACTGAGTCAATTCCGCCCTTCACAAATCTTCAGAGAGCTCCTAACTTAGCTTAAAAATTCCTAGTAAAGAGTCCTAGGGTGTGTTGGAATTGTCATTTTTGCTTAGGAAGGTTCCTAACTGAGTGAATTGACCTGGAAGCATTTAAGTGGCGGCCATGATAAGAGCCGTTCGAATTCTTTAAAAGCTAAGGAAAGGTGGGTCAATGCTTCCTTTGTAACCTCCTTTAGCATAGGATACACTGGACCACCCTTCTTTACGAACGGAGATGAGATATGCCGCCCCACAATTCCTTTGGGCCGCAACATTGAAACAGAGTCGCGCATCCAACCGTTCACGAAAAGGAACGATGACCATAAAGGGACACAGATCATGTAAGGGATAAAAAGATAAGAGACAATTTTAGCCAGATGATGTTTTATTCAACATATTTCATTCACTTAAGGATGGTATGTGCAGTTGTACATTTGTATGTTTAAAACATTATGTATATCTTGCATGAATGTAACAATTAATTTCATACAATCATACTTATTTTGATGTTGATTTATGATTGGACAGGTAGGTGATGGTTTCACTTTTGTTACTTGCAGCCTGTATTGCTTTTATTTAAATCCCAACCTTGTGGTAATTAGGATTATTTCACTGGTAAGAAGGCACAGGGGAAAGTTTTTTAGATGCGCTTTTAGTAGTCCATTTTCGGAACACTGTAGTTTCAACACGGCAGACCCACGTCATTAACCTCCGCCGGCCCGTCGCATTTCATTACGTCGCCTAGTGGAAAATGTGGTCGGATTGTCAGAGCAACGAGATCGCCTTTCCCTAAGTCCTTTATAAATTCTCCTACCATCTTTCCTTAACCTCATGACGTTTTCCCCGGGGTTAATGTAAAGTGGATAGTGAAAGGGGATAGGAGGGACAATTCGGATGCACCGTTAGCCTAGGAGTGGTTTAGGAACATTCTTAGAGCAACTCTGAGTCAAGAGTCAGAAACTTTCATCTTAGTGAAGAGGTGGGATTGACCCTGTTGCACAAGATGTGGTTGGTTAATCCAAAAAAATTGAGAAAAAAAATCGATTATAGAATCTAGTCAGATATTGTCTAATTATGAACACTATGAAATAAGCATCTGTGTGATCATTTGTAAGATGCACTTTAAAAGTAAAAAGCCTGCAAAATGTTTGAAATCACATGCCTACTTGTACAGCAGCTTCTTCACATGCTGACAGTGACATCAGCATGTGAAGGGCCTTAATTAGTGATTCGATGCACCTGTGGAGGTAACCACATGTAGAGAAACTCGACATGCATGTCTCACTTTGCACTGAAGAAACTGCACAAATCATTTTTCTGTTCTGCACAACTGAGGGTCAAAAATATTTTCCTCATGTCCTGTTTGAAGAACATTTCTCCATTTTCTCCTCAGCTTGAGAAACTCTTAAGCCTACTACTCCTAACAGTTTTTCACCTGAGGAGCTCTCAAGGGTTAAAACACTTTGTGAATAACGTTCATCTTTACAAGGATCTAGTCTTAACTTTGAGGAAATATTCTTCTAAAATGTAATGATTTGTCAAGAATTTTCTTGGAAGTTTGTCACTAGGAGCAACTCTTAAGCTGGCGATACACTAGACAATTTTGTAATCTTAACTGATTTTTAAAATGTAGGAAGGTTTGTTGTCATGAGACTCGTGATTAAACGTGACTTCAGAAGATAAACAAACATTAATGACGATCATTGTCAGCTGGCTGTCCTGGCGTGCAATTTTAAAAAGAAATATCAACTTTAAAATGTTAATTTACAGACGGTTTTAGCTATCACATCTACTAAAGAAGCAGTGCAAACAGTAAGAAAAACACATTGCTTGTCGATATCTATGTTCTGTTCTAACTTTTTGATAAAGCTTCAGTGAAACATAAAAAACCCGTGCTCCCAACCTTCAGTCCCTTTTTATAAATGGGATGAATTTGCAGAACAGAGCTTACCATGATTTACTAAGGGGTGATGTGAAGGGCAGTCACTATGCAAGTAGCTTTCAGGGCAAGAGTCTGAGAGAGCATTATAATACAGTCATCAAGTATGACAATATTTTCTCTTCTATCATAAAATATGTAACATTATCATTATATTAACCTGATGTTTTGCTCCTGCTGGTTTACATTAAGTTTATATCCCTCTCTTATTACATTTGTTGACCAGCTGTCACTTTAATGTTGCCTGAGATAATAATGAACCAGAAAGCTGTATGAAGTTACCTTCAAGCTAGCACACATTTCTCTCAACAACTTTACCTGTCAGTACCTGTCAACACCTGTCAACAGGGAAGCTAATGATCCAACACAATTAACATTGTATGTAAACTTATCAAAACATGGCTGGGCGATAATGAAGACTTTTTTCAGAAAATTGCATGAATGGAGTGTTGCTGTTAATCATTTAAAGTTTATGGTCATTGTGTATTTTCAGTGTAACCTAATTTACAATTCTCATCTACCTCCTTCACAAGAATTACATTTAACGTGGAGTTTGCATTCCACTTACCTTAAACTCAATCACAAGGACAACGGATTGACCTTTGTTTAGAGATTGAATCTAATTATGCTGATTGGGTTGTTGGGCAGCAGGAATTCTGTCTGTATTAAGAACATTGGTGATTTGCTTAGCTCTACAGCAAAAGCTCAACTTTTCATGTGCTATGCAAGAGGTGTTACTTCCTACATGAAGCCTTTGTTGGGGAAAAAGCCAACCAGCTAACCCAAAATTATTTAAAGGGTCCTGACATATCTCCCAATTGATATAATAACGAATCCAGAAACACTGTTCAACCATTGTTCAGAAATGTCAGGAATGAATGTGCCAGATGAATTGACACATTTGCTTTCATTACTGTAAATGGACAAAGGCCCCAGCAAAAATAAAGAATGAGATTCACCATCAAGTCTAATACTGGCATGTTCTACATTTGTAGAACATTTGTACAGAAAAAAAGCAGACAAATACAATATGTACAAAATAAATTATTTATTTAACAAATGACAAAATAAATTCTTCAGTTTCACTGGATGAACAAATAACACAAAGTGGCTTTAAATGCACAAATAACAAACAAACTTGCCAACATAAACATTATTTCAAAAATCGTGATAAAATATTTAAGAAGCGCTCTTCCCAGGCAGCCGCCTCCCGAGCAAACCGCTCATCCCTCTCCCTGGTCTCCCTATCCCTCCTCGCTTGCTCCTCTCTCCTCTCCCTCTCTAATCACTCCTCCCTTGCCCTCATCTCATTCATCAGCCTCTCCTCTCTCTCCTTTGCCTCGTCCCTTCTCTCCATCTGCTCGAACAGTCTCATCCACGGTGGTGGCCTTCTCCGTCTTTTGGCAGGTGGAGTGGAGTGGAGGTGGAGGAGTGGGAGAAGGAGGAAAGAGAGGAGGTGCTGGGTCTGGGAGCAGAGCCAGTGGCAGGAGAGGAGGTGGAGGAAGTAGTGGAGGCAGAGTCGGAGGAAGTAGTGGAGGATGAGGTGGAGACAGAGGCAGCCACTTGCTCTTGTGAGGGAAAGGACATGACAGCTGCTCCCTGGGAGGATGAAGATGCCAGGGCCAGCGGGGTGATGATATGGCTGGCCCCAAGCACCTCATCCATAAAACAGGAAGCAGCTGTCATCTCCCCTCCTTCTGTTTTAGGGGTTTTCAGCTCCTGAGGAAACATGACAAAATGAACAATATCCATTCAAGTACACAACCACATGTTTCCATTGTAATGTTAAGCAATGAAGTATATTTTATGTTGATCAGTTCAAATTCTATTGGCATATTGAAGAAGTCAATGTTGCACAGTGTGACATGTGTTCATTGCTTTTCCTGCACAGGAATCCTGTGTGCAGCAAAAATTGCCACAGTTGGCTGTGCCTCCTGGACCAGTAGCATGAATGGTCAAATAAATGGCATGTCAGTCTTGATCATGTAATGTGCAAGTTGTATGAGTTACATACTTTATACTTCTGCTTCAAATTCTCCCACCTCTTCTTGAGGGCAAGGATGGGGACTATCCCCTCCACCCCCATCTCTTTAGCACATGCTCTGATGAGAAGTGTAGTGTAATTGTAATGGGTGAATACCATAAAATCACCTTTAAGCTTATCTTTGAGTTAGATCATCACATGACATTGCACTGACATCGACTTTTAAGGCAAAATAGTATAGATTGTGAGCCTATATAGCCTGTAGTAGCTCATGACAGCACCTATCCATTAAATCTACAGATGCAAATGGTATAACTTACTCGAAACCCTTAAGGGCAGCGTTCCGCTGTCCGGTGAACAGATTATTGTTCCGGGCTCTCCACCGGATCAGCTACCACGTGTGGTCATTTGTCCCTGTACAGCAAAAGCACTTGTTTTCAACATCCATACAATAATAATGAGTAAATGTTTTTGAGCTTCCGATAACTCATGGCAGACACTTTAAGTGATATGCACTATGGCTCAATAAACAATTTAACAACTTCACATTTGAAATGGTAAAATACAATTCATTTCCTGAAAGGATGCATCCGAATCCATACTGCATAAAACCTGGAAGTTAATATCCATGCTGAAATGTTTAGTATACTGAGGTGGACCCAAAAAATACCTACTGAATGACCACGAAAGTTCATTATAATGAAACTCCTTACTGAAAAGTACGTACTGCCTACTGAACTGTGGCTATTCGGAAACGGCCTGGTATACCGTACATTTTCCCGAATCAGTACGACATCCGGGTAATTTTTGGTAGACTGCGGATCTCACATTTGTTGGCATACTGCATTTTGATCAAATCAGTACTTACTAGTAGTATAGTGCGCGGCTTTGAAAACAGCCAAAGTCATTGCTTTGCAAGTCAAAAGTCCAAACCTTTAAATTTTGAGTCCTAAACAAGTCATTAGCTCTCTCTTTTGTTACATTTACACAAATCACAATTTCTATTTGAATTATTTTATTTAGCCTATTCTTAAAAAAGAATAACAAAACCAGTTTTTTTTTTCTTGATTCTGTATTTAAAGATGTGTTCCATTTGGTCAGATCGTGTATTGAAGTCGTAGATCAATAATCACCTTGTTTAATCCCCTGAATGATCCTTGCCACACTGCAGTCATTTGATCAAGGTCTTTTTATTTTTCAAATGTATCACATAAACAACAACAGCACAAACATAGGACAGTCAGAAAGGAAACCTGTCCAAACCCCAAGCAATATGCAGAATGTATTATGTGTAAAGGCAGTCAGCTATATAGCTTCAAAGAGAGCGGGAGTTTACAAAGCTTACAAACAGAGTTTCAGTCTCCGGCCTCCATTGATGGGATGATATTCTTAATGTAGGCCATAGCTTTGTCCGGATCCAAAAACTCTACGTCCTCCGCTCCGTGAGTGATTCGAAGTCGAGCTGGAAATAAAATACCATACCGGACTTCCTGTCTGTCGCGGAGCAGCTTCCTGACATTTGTGAAGGCAGCCCGGGCTTTTGCAACACTGGCAGTGAAGTCCGGAAAGATGGTGATTGAATCCCCATTGAGGCGAAGTGGACCATGAGTGCGGGCACGGTGAAGCACCTCCACACAATCTTGATAATAGTGCAGTTTAGCAATGATTGCACGTGGTCTCCCCCTGGGCCCCGATGTGAACAGTTAATCAGCTGCACTTTGTCCAGCTGTTACACCTCGGTTAGCAGCTTGGAAACCGATGCGGTCGAGCTGGAGCCGGGCGTTTCAGGGACACCGATGATTCTTATGTTGCATCTTCTCGTTCTTCCTTCCATGTTGTTATATTTCTCTTTTAAGCTGGCCATTTCCGCTTTAAAACAATGGCTATTCAAAAATCAGACATGCTGCCATAATCTGGATTAATGTACTTTGTCTTTACTTGTAGTCTGTGTTAATATATGCTCCTTGTCTGTGTTTAAATGCTCATGTATTTAAATGTGTTATATGTTACACATTTTTATTTTATGTCTGTGTGCTGCTTTATCAATTGCTTCCATGCGTATGTGTTGTTTAATTTGTTATGCTTATGTGTTCTTTTTTTTTTTTTTTTTAAAGGTTTATTTTGGGCTTTTCGTGCCTTCAATGCAGAGAGAGGACAGTGGATAGAGTCGGAAACCAGGGAGAGAGAGCGGGGAATGACATGCAGAAAGGGGCCACGGGTGGAAGCAAACCCGGGCCTACCGCTCGAGACGAGAGTCTCAATACATGGGACGCGCGCCCTAACCACTGCGCCACCAGCACGCCCCTGCTTATGTGTTCTTGTGTCTATGTTTTGATGAAAATTAGCTTGCACGGCTAAATCTGGCACATTTACATGTGTGACTTTGTTGCTCTTGTTAATTAATGTGTTGTCCCTTTTAAATAAAGAAATCTAAAAGCCGCTCACCCGTGTCCTGCAGAGTCACGACTTCGTCCGACCATGACGATAGCCCCCCCTCCACTTCTTTGATGCTAACCTTCACCTGATCGATCTCGGATTTGAGCGCCGTGGTGTTGTTAATGATCTCGGTTTTCACCGCTTGTAGTTCACTCTTCAGAAAGGCGAAGTCCTCTGCAAGAGCATTTTTTAACTCGGACTTTATCACCGCTTTCAATGAGAGCAGGATTTCTGACCTCAAACCCGAAATGTCCATCTCTTCGGAGCCGGGTGACGGTGGGGTCGGTCGGACCGGACTCTTGGTGGCACTCTGGTCCAAGGAGGAGCTGGGCCTAACGTTAGCGAGTCCGGTGTACTTATATTTCCGCAAATTCAACGCCATCCGTGTACCCGACGGGCTCACTCCACATCCAGCATTAGTTTGCAAAAATTTTAAACAACCACACTGCGTGAAAAATCAAAGAAAGCCTGGCGGGAGCTCAAACAAAACACGACTTACTCCATTGCAGGCAAACCACGCACCCCACTGCAGTCATTTGAAAGGAGTCAATAAGATAAAACTTTCTCCCAGTTTTCTCTTGTACCTTCACAATGGTGGCATGAATGAATGCATTTAAAACCTAGAGAAAAATATGTGGTTACATTCTTGCCTTGAAAAATATATAAGGATCGAACTGTAAATACTTCATGTTGCAGGTCTCAAACAACTTATATGGACCGACTTTGCTCCACAGCACACCTTGCCTTTTACCTGACCAGATTTCAGCTATTACTGAGAATTAGAAGAACAGTTGGCCTCATTTGTAATTTAGTGCAGCATCAATTTCTCAGAAAGCCTACTGAGTGCATATGTAGGTCTTTCAGAATGTTGCTGCTCAAATAAAATGGTATTGATATATACTTATACTCCTCTGGGGTGACTGAAGTTGACTGTTCAAAGCAAGTTGTGTCACATGACTGGAGACTGGAGGACAGAGGGTCTGATTGTGGACTCTGCGTGCAAGTTGGGGATTGGGGAACGCTAGGACATCTCAAGGGGCTGGGTTCCAGTGCTAAATGAGCAGATGAAATAGTGGCAATCCATTTTGCTGTGATTCGTGGCTCTGGTTCCACATATTTCATTGGATGTTTAGTCAATGTTGATTTTTGAGATGGTTTTTTCCTTTTGTTGAGTTTAGATCAGCACTTTTCCCATCAATGCTTATTATTGTAAAGGGACCCAAGAAATCAGTTTCTAATTTCCCCCCCTTTCTTTTTTCTTGGCAGAAATTTTTTCGTAATACCTTGTCCCCCACCACAAAGCTATCATCTTCGCCCTTTGATAACTTCCTCTTCCGCACCATTGCTTGTGCTTCTGTAATATTGGCCTCCACTTGAGTGTACACATCTTCAAGGTTGGTAGTTTGGTTGCATACATCCTCATTTTCAATCAGATATTTGACTTTTTCATCACTTATTTGTAGCATAGTTGTAGATAAATAAACCCAAGTACACATAATAGCAAATAAATAGATATGGTTGCCAAAGCAGCTCCAACAGCAGGGAAATGCCATCTCATACCTTACACATGACTGGAATTTCAGACGGGTAACGGGCCTCCCTTCCATACATGAGAAATAAGGAGAATATTTTTGGTGCATAATCCAAACACAGTAGGTTTGATGTAATTTTCCCAGTCGCTTTGGTGGTCATGCACCATTTTTCTCAAAGCCCTGAAATTGGAACACATACTGTCATTCTCCATACACACATGATAACAGAGCATAAATACAAACAACATGTAGAAAAGTGTATTTTCACCCTTGAATGGTGCCATTACGCTTTTCAACCAAGCCATTTGTTTGGGGGTGGTATGGTGCACTGAGGCTTCTGGCAATGCCAAGCTTTTCACACAACCCTTCTAGAATATGCAGTGGATATTATAAAGAGCAAACAGTTTTGATGTAATTTTTGTTGTTGCAGCGTAAAGACACAGTTATTACATCTCACTATTCTACTTGCTTCGTTGACAAATTCTTTTCCCTGGTCAGTTCGTTTTGGTGCACCATACAAAAAAGTCCATTATGCACACTGTCACTTCGTCAGTCCCCTTACTCTCAAGAAAGAGGGCCTCTTTTAACAGGAACTAATCCGCCAAAAAGGCTTTAGTTTTTGAAATACCCCTACCCGTGGTAGAAAAAAGCACAACCGTATTTTTTCACAGAATTCTCGTGTCTAGTTTATGAAATGTATGGACGGTCGACAAACAAATAAATGAGGGTGTAAAGTTAAGCTTCATGCAGCTCTGATCCATCTCCAAATTAAGACCATCCTCTGTTATTCCGACCTGGAGAAAGTCATACATGCATTTATATCCACTATATTTTAGTCTCACTCAGGCACGTCTATCCCATCTTCAGCTCGTACAAAATTCAGGAGCCGGACTACTAACATGGTTAAAAAGAAGAAGTCACATCACTCCAATTCTTGCCTCCTTACCCTGGCTACCAGTCAAGCTGAGGATTGGTTTTAAATTACTGTGGACTGTGTTCAAGGTGTTGAATGGACTTGCCCCCACATCAGCCGGTAAGAGATCTAAGATCCTTTCAAATGAAACCTTCTGTCAATGCCTAGATTCAGGACAAAGTACAATGGGGATCAGCCTTTTCTATTGCAGGACCAAAATTATGGAACTCTTTACCTCCAAACATCCGTCTCTCACCCACTACTGATGTTTTTAAAACTTGCTTCAAAACATATCAATACTCAATTACCTTAAATTTATTTTAACCTGTGAAGCTCAAACTCCATAGCTCTGTTAGTCTTGTGTTACACTGTACTGTATTATTACCTGTTCTTGTCTGTTATTTTCTAATGCTTAGGTTTTTCTATCTGCGCTGTTCACTTTGTGTGTAAAGTGCTACATCAATAAAGTTGAGGTGTATACACAAAAAAATTATAAACTTAAAGATGTGTTTTTACATTCATTTGTATAAGCTGCATACTGCTCCATATGACATCAGTGTTTTAGGTGTAACCTGAATGTTGAGGGCTGAAGCTCATTGACATCAAAAGTTGAGTTGAGGCATGGAAATGAAGGCAGCGAGAATTTTTATTAGCACAGGTTTTTTCCTTAATTTGTCAAGTGGTTTTTCTTGTTTCGGAGACAAACTATGACAACTAATGATTTGTCTCGTTAACAAAATAATGTTCAATAATTCTAAACAGGCTCAGTTAACAGATGTATCAATTAAACAATAAATCAAGTCTGCCTATGCATTATAAACAACCAAACATTTAACTCATTTACTCAAACAATAACTCACATGTGGACGCACTCAGCAAAGGTGGAACAGGTCTTGTCCTTCGGAGAGCAAAGAACTCTCCTTCCCTTTATGGGAGACCTGATTTGGGGATCTCATTCACCTGTAGTGGATTGCTGCAGCCAGCACAGGTGATTATTGTTGCTCCTGATTGAGCTCAGGGAATCAAGCCAGGCATGACATCTCAACTTCATGTCTTCTACACATCATCATCTCTGAGCTCAGACAATGGAACTAGTTGTGCAACGGGTCTGAGGTATGTTTGGGTTTTGACCTTGATTTCTGCTGTTCTGACCTGACCATCTGGTCCAGGGTGCGTTTGGATCACTCTTCTGATGGGCCAGAGAGCACGAGGAAGTTGCGGGTCCACAAACAGTACCACTTTGCCACATTCAAGGTTCCTAGTGTTGACATGCCACTTAGGTCGTACTTTTAGATTGGGAAGATAATGGCGAATGAAGCTTGCCCAGAAGAGAGGTCGGTAACCATCTGACTCTGGTGCCAACGTCTCTTTCCAATAAACTCATTGCTGTGAGGCATCTCGCTGCCCCATAAGGAGCATATTTAGAGTGACAGGGTCAGGGTCTGCAACATCCAATGAAATGTATCCAAGTGGCTTGGAGTTCATGATCCCTTCAACTTCTATGAGAACAGTGTGCAGTACAGCTTCAGTCACTGACTGGCCTCCAAGGACGACCCGCAGAGCATCCTTTACTGACCGTATCTCCCTTTCCCAGATGCCACTGAAGTGTGGAGAGCCAGGAGGGTTTAAGTGAAACCTGACCTGGTGGTCAATTAGTTTTTCTTTCAGGCTTGGTGCCATTGAGTTGAATGCTTTATCCAGCTCTGCTTGACCTCCACGGAAGTTAGTGCCTCGGTCTGATGTGAGGTCATGGGGCCGACCTCTCCTAGAGATGAAGGCTAAAAGAAAGGCATCTGTGTAAAGATTCTCATGGACATCCAAGTGAACACAGCGTGTCGTCATGCACTTAAAGATAATGCCCCAACGTTTCTCTGTCCGTCTTCCGATCTTGATCGTGAATGGTCCAAAGCAATCAGTTCCAGTAGACCAGAACGGGGGCTTGAAGAGACGAAGTCAGGATGGTGGTAGATCAGCCATTTTTGGTACATCAGAAGAGGCTCTCCACCTTTGACAAGGCTGACATGAGTACTGATACTTTCGAACAGCTGCTCTACCTCTCAGCAACCAGTATCTTCTTCGGATCTCACTGAAGACTCTTTCTGGCCCAGGGTGCAGAAGACGCTCATCAAAATCTTTAATCAGCAACTGAGAAATGTGATGATTGGGATTCAGAACAAAAGGGATGGATCGTGTCTTGGTCAAGATCAGTGGCTCTACGAAGCCTACCTCAGCTTGCTTCCCTGATCCAGAAGGAAATCACCCTGCCGATCCAAAGCACCACCCTTTGGAGTGACTCTACCACTATATTGCGATGGCTAAAGTCAGATTCATGTAGGTACAAGGTGTTTGTGGGCACTCGCATTGCTGAGATTCAAGAGCTTACTATGGCTGAAGATTGGCGGTATGTTGATAGCCTCTCTAACTGTCAGACTTAGCTGAACCGTAGAGGTGGAGTCAAGGAGTGGCCAGCTCTTGAACTCGAGACTCCTTTAGATGAGTAGGCTATATAGTTAAGGAAACCAACTAGCATCCAAAGCATCTCTGTACACCATTCCTCTGGAGTAGCACCTCTTGAAGTGTCTCAGTGTGGTACCTGGAAGGATACCCTTACGATGGCAGCGGATCTTCTTGCCAGATCTTCCACATCAGATCCTAATTGGACCGCAGAGACAATTCTTCTACAGTAGGCCCAAGACGACAACTTTCCAGCTGAGTTTGTTGCTTTGCAATCCAGCAAGAACATGTCATCCACCAGCTGGTTGCTGTCCTTGGCTCCTGAGTTTGACCACACCCTCTGCCTCATCCTAGTGGGAGAAAGAGATAGTGGAGGTTCACTGTGGGCAAAACCAACCTGCATGTAGCCTTAGGAGGGAGGAGGAGAAACGCTGCAGTCACCTGACCATAGCAGAATGCAGAAAGTGACATCAGAAGGTGGACTGGGGGCAACTGAAACAGGGGCACCCCTGATGAAAAGTCAGTTGTAGGTGACCCTATCACAGGGGGGGGGGCACCCCTGCACCACACAATGACTGAAGTAAAAAAAAAAAAAAAAAGATAATATAGAAAGAAAGAGGGGGAGGAAAGGGGAAATAAGAGAAAGGAAGAGAAGAAAAAGAAAATGTATGGGAAGAAAAAAAAAAAAGAAAAGAAAAATGGAATGAAGGAAAGAAGAAGGACAAAAATAGGAATAGGGGTATAGAGGAAGGGTAGCTGTGGTAAATGCTCTCATGCTGTCTCAAGTCATGCACAATTGCACATTACCAGACTGGGCTTTTACAGAGGTCATGGCAGTTATAATGAACTTAATTTGTAAAAGTAGCGTCATTGCAAATGAAACTATTATATCGGGTGAAGTTTAGGAGGGTTAGAATTGATTGATCTACACACAAAGAAAATAACACTCTAAAAAAAAAAATATTAAGCACATTTTTGGCCCAGGTTCTGGATCTAATCTGGAAAACTCTTTCAAACAGTTTTTTTTTTTCTTTTTCTTTCAGAAGTTCTTTAGTTCCGAGCAGTTTGGATAATTACACATCACGTCTCCTCTTTGGTCTCAACACTCAACTTTGAATCTTCTCTGGGATTTTCCTCCCTGAGCTCCTCTCTTCTTTCAGGTTTGCCTCCACATACATGTATATGTACAGGAGGAGATCCAGCGTACAAAGGGGACGCGGACTTTGTTATCTGAGGGGATTCACAGATAGAGACATCTTCACTCACTGATGGTGATGACATCGACGTGATGTCTTCTCCTGAGTTGCTGAGTGCTGCAAGTCGTCCAAAGCCTTCAACTGATGGTGAAAAGTGCGTTTGCTCAACTTGAATTCAACCTGAGGCCTGGCCTTCTTACATTTTACAATCTGTGTGCTATGGCTATTTGGATGTGAAGATGTGTGCGGCGAGAGACGGCGCCGATGGAGCTGTGAGGAGGACATTCACTGACTGTCCTCTGAAACATTCACAGGTGTATCAGGGGATGCTGAGGGCAAAGCTGTGCTCTCATTCCCTGACTTACATCTCCGGACTTCAGTGTTTTTGGATCTCTTCTGATTGAAGTGACTTTTGCTGCAGGCCAGCTCTGTATCGGGAGGAAGCTCTCCATTATACAGCAGCACAAACTCTCTTTGGCTGTCCAAAGGGAGAATGGTCTGCCTGAGACGACACTTGTTGAAGGTCTCCACAACAGTGCTGGGTATCACCTCTTTCAACAGGTTACAGTTGGTATGCAGAGCAGGGTTACAGTTCATCTCCAACAGCCACACCTTAAAGTCCTCATCAACCATGAAGTCGCAGCCAATCAGGTCGAAGAAGCCCAGTCGGCATTCCAGCTTCGATTTGACAGCTAAGAAACACTGCAACATGACCTGCTGCATGCGTTTTGCAAAGACATGCTGCGTCCTCCTGCTGGCCTGTCGGCCCTCTGCCTGCTCCAGCTTCAGTCTGAAGGCGGATACGTCCTCTGGGCTCTTCATCAGAAAAATACCTCTGCCCTTGTTCATTCCCGTCGGCTTACAGATCCACATTTAATTCCTGTTGTTGCTTACACGCTCCTGCTGGGCAAAGAAAGCCGCCCTCTCTTCGCTCTTGTCCATGCAGAAGGTAGTGGGAATAAACTAGCCTCTTTGATCTTCTGCCGTGGTTGACTTTGCTGCTGACTCGCTCATACTCCCGCAGACTGCTGAGGAGGCCGATCTTAGTGGTGAGCACCTTGTTATTGGGAATGTGGTACATCAACTGTTCACCTTCTCTGAAGTTACTGTACTTGGCTGAAGATTTGGTGTCACACCACTTGAGTTTGAAATCCTTCCTGTGCTTGTTGTGAATCATTTTCCATCCTCTGCTCTCACAGTAACTGCTCACTATTTACGCTCCATTTGTTCCTCCCATGAAGAAGAAAGGCCCAGACCCTTGGGGCTCCTCCACCCGACGCTCCCTGTTCGAATGTTTCTGCACTGATTCTAAATCCTTGGCTTCCTGGATGTCGGTCATGTGGGAAAACCTCAGCGTCTCCTCTGTCTGGCCCTGCTCCAGTCCACCTTCTTTTTAAAAAAAAAATTTATTAGGTGATGCAGAACAATACAATACAAGTGAGGGACATGACGAGCAAAAGTATGTAGGAGACAGGGGAGACACGACGATACAATGCACAACAAAGACAAGGCAAAACAGGCAAGCAGGGAGTAATAATAACGTTTTGCAATTTTGTATGTTGAGGGTGTTGAAGGGCCCTGCTTGTGTGTGTGTGTGTGTGTGTGTGTGTGTGTGTGTGTGTGTGTGTGTGTGTGTGTGTGTGTGTGTGTGTGTGTGTGTGTGTGTGTGTGTGTGTGTGTGTAATTCGAGTGTATGCTTGTATTTATTTATTTTTTACCTTTCCTTTTTCCCTTTCTCCATCTCTTCCTCCTTTTGCTCTATCAGTCCTGTCTTCTCTGATGGACCCTCGCTGCACTCAGATGACATCACTTCAGGCTGACACTAACTGTGGGAGAAGATGAGAAATGTTCCTACATGATACACAAGTGGGCTCTTACAGAAATGAGGAGAGTAAACTGAAAATTGAGGCAATTGAGAGGAACCATGAAGAGAACTCGTTTACACTAAATCTATAATAATTCTTGTTTAGTGTTGTTTTGCTTAAATATATTTTTTAATGAGCTAAGCCAACATTGTGACTGTATTTATGGCTGTGTTAGTCTATTGGTCAGCGTACTAGTTAGCGTGCAAGAACAAATGTTGAAGGCATTCATTGTCTTTATAAGATGTCCCAGTAACTCAAGTCATTTCCTGACTTTCAGACATAAAGTGAAATATCTCTTGTAGTTTTCTAATTTTTTTCATTAGGTGATGCAGAACAATACAAGACGAGTGAGGGACATGACAAGAGCAAAAACAAACAGTATCTCTGCTAAAAAGAGGCAAAATCAAGTTGCTCTTCTTATAATATAAGGCTTTATTGTAAAGGCTAGTTCA